ATTTCAAGTAATAGAAAAATAGTAAAAACTCACAAAAGGTTTAATAAACGAAGCTTTTTCTCCCTTAAGCGTCTTTATCCCCATTGCTAATTTATACCTGAAAAGAAAAAGAATTAAGATGAGATATCATAAAGTCCGAAGACTGGTAAACTAAAATAACTAATTAAAAACTAAACAAAAATAATCTCCTCGGAAAAGGCGCCAAAAATTGTTCGTGTATCTTGCAAAAATAAAATACCCGCTCGCAATAGAACGATAACGTGTACAATAGCTCTATGCAAAGAGGATGTCAAACTCACAGAGAGATGAGATTTGTTTTAGTCTTTAATTTCGTTTATTGGTTTACAAGTAACTTGGTTGGAAAGTTTGTTAGTTGTCACAATTTGACAAACTAAATTATAACAAAATAGTTAACTAGAACGAATTAAACTAATTTAAATGATCAGAGAGAGAAAGTCTTAGGGCTTTGACTTCACCACAACCATCGTATTATGATTAATTATACTAACTCTGGGAATTTAACAATGAAATTTTTCAAAAGAATTGAACTCAATAACATTTGTTCAATTCGGGTTTTAAAAAAAGATGTTTTACAAGATTAGCTAACTATAACTTATCTGCGGTTAGCGTGGACAATCCGCCTACCTACTATACCTACTTTAACTACTGTACAAATGAACCACCTTTCCTAAGCATAGATTATGAAAACATTCTTTTGTAAAAAACATGAAAGTACTATCATATAACCTCTATTCTTGTGTCCGGCAGGGCTCCGGCAGATACCGCACAACAAGATATGTTGAGAATAGAGAATAAACTATTACATTTATGACAACGGAATAACAGTTTATAATCTATCAAAGCGTGAAAACCACTTGAGGTATCTCAAGTGCTCATAGTCATATAATCAAGAAAAATAATCATACATTAAAAATAATCCCAGAGTTAAAACAATCAAATCATAATATTAGGCTGGGTTACATCAGTGCCCTAAGAGAGGAATTAGTTACTCATGATGAGGATGGATATCATCTGTGTTAAGTTCATCTCCATCGTCACGGACAGCACTTCTCTTCTCAGGATCTTCACTTTCAAGGTTGTAGGAACCCCAAAAGCCACCACACCTTCAGCCTTATGAATAACACCGTCAAAAGAGATTGAAATTTCGGACCTCTTCTATCAAGGCTTATGCCTTCTTTTATAGAAGGAAATAAATATTTGGTGGGCTTTTAGGTCTTCTAGCCCAACTGGGATGAGATACGGCTGGTAAAGAGAGCAATCTCGCAATATTAATCTGATATGTCACGGAAGGCTCGACCTTTAGGAACAGAGGCTCGAGCTTTAGGGTTCATGCTTGAGCATTAGGAACAATGCTCGAGCTTCTCTGGATGGATGCTCGAGCTTTAATAAACGGTGCTCGATCTTCACTTTGACATTTAGTCAATTTTCTTCAACTTTTTTCCGAAGCATCTTTTTCTTCAACACTTAGAATATTTTTGGGGTTGAACTCTTTTAACATTGCTCCATCCAAGCTTCATAGGCTCGAGCACTAGGTACCAGGCTCGAGCATTTAGGGCTCAAGGCTCGAGCATCAGTGGATAATGCTCGATCCTTAATAGATGGTGCTCGATCCTGGAGGTAAGGCACGAGACCTGGGAGCATAGCCTTCAATTAAAAAAATCAACTCATTAATTTTCGACGCCTCATGCTCGAGCTTGAGGGTCAAGACTCAAGCACCCTTGGTTAAGGCTCGAGCACCCTATGGTAAGGCTTGAGCATTTGGGCCTTGTTGACTTTTCTTCTCTTCTTTGTTGTGATGCTTGAGCCTTAACATTTGGGCTCGAGCTCTAAGGCTTGAATTGCTTCAAACTTCACCATTTCAGCTCTTGGCTTGCTCTGAATGACCGGCAACGACTCTGTAAGCTTCGATATCATCATAAAGTCCCGGTTTTAATCATTTTTTTGGGAAAGTACCTACAAACACACATTAAACATAAATTAGTCTAATTATGAATAGAAATATCACTTTAGATCTTAACATATATGTATTTAGGGGCTCGAATATGCATATATTTAGCACTCATCAACTAGCAGACCCAAGATCCTATTTCACCCAAAATCCAATTGCGAAACTAACACACATACACACAACACAACCCCATCCCATTTATAGTCCCTGATTCGTGCAGTCAAAAATAGAAGCAACTTGGAAGCAAAAGGTTTATAGCATATATTATAAATAAATAAATAAATAAATAAATAAATATATATATATATATATATATATATATCATTTTCAGTATGCTTTCCACAATTCCCTTTTAGACAAGCATGAAGAGAAAAGAAAATCATCCAAAATATATATTCCAAAAGGTCCAGTGGAGAAGCAAGAGTTTAGTGTTCTACCATATATATATATATATATATATATATATATATTCAAAGCACTTGTTATCTTTTCCTAGTAGAAATTTAGAAACTTGGAATTATATACCACTAAAACATAATAGACACCAAACGAAATTTCCCTAAAAGGACTGGAAGCACCAAAAAGCTTATTAAAAAAAAAAAAAAAAAATTGAATGGGAAAAACAATAGGACTCATATCAATAGGACTCATAAGGGAATACAATTTGCTAAGAAAACAGATACCTTTAAAGACCACATAACTCATATCTATCACCTGACAATATTTGCCATCTCATCCGAAAAAGGGATCCACCCAACCCATTAAATCCCCATAAGGAAACCTTGACTTTATCACCAATAGAATCAAATTGGTGGTGATCAAATCGGTGGAAACGGGTCTGGATTTCCACAATGAGCAAGGATCGGTGTTACAAAGGTGAAGGTGTTGTTTTGATCTGGTGGCTATTGGCGACGATAAAGGAGGTGCCGGAATGTGCAGAGATCGCCGAACCAATTCTCGGACTAGTCAGCCATGGCCGCATCACCCCCAAAAGTGTCTATCAGGAATTCAAGTACATCAGCACTTACCGTCAGATTTTTGGGTAGGGTAGTTTTGTAATTCCTTATTAATCAATAGGGTTAAAGATGTCATTTCAAGTACTTAAAGGGTAAATGGACCTTCTATCGAATTTTTCTGCTGACATCAGCACTTACCGTCAACTTATTAACTGCAGGGGGTAACTTGCTACCTAAATCAAAAGGTTATGGGGTGTAGGTGGAATATTGAAACCTAGAGGGGGTGTAAGTGGGATATGGTCAAAGGTCAGGGGGTGTAAGTGGAATTAACCCTACTTTTATTTGTTGGTGCACGTGTTTAATTTGGAAAGTGAAGAGAGACAGAGATATGCATATATAAATGGGCGCCATGAATGAATTGGAGGTGCAACTTGGGCGGACTAACTCAGCCCAACCCAAACCCAGCCCAAAATTTTTAAATTTTAGACTCTAAAATAAACAAATCGGGCCCAAATTAGGTTGGGTTTTCTCAAACCCAGGTATGTTCGGGTTGGGCTCGGGTTCAACCCAACCCAAACCAAAATAATAATAATAAAAACTTTTTAAAAAAATATTTATTTATTTATTTTTGTCTCCCTTCTCTCTCCTCTCTCTTCTTTCTCTCTCTCTTCTTTTCTTTTTTCCTTCATTTTTTCTATTCCACTTTTAAGTTTCAAACCCACTAACCCTTGAAAGAGAAAGAGGAAGAGAGAGAGAGAGAGAGAGAGAGAGAGAGGGAGAGAGAGAGATACACACACATACACAATATTTTCTGATTAGCCTAGAATATATATATATGACAAAAGGGTGTTGGGGGGGGGGGGGGGGGAATTATTTTCAAATAGAGAGAAGTTTTGTTATTTTTAGAAATTTAAAGAGTTTCCAAATTAAATAAAAATATAATTTGCATATTTGTAAAATAAAAAAAGGAAGACCCATGAAACCATCTGAAATATTCGGACTGGGTTATGGTCATAACTCATTTTGAGTAGAATTCGGACTGACTCAAATGGTTGGATTGAATTGAAATTTTGCCTTCTACTGACATATGACATATTTAACGTAAGATGGTTAATATTAGCGTTGTAAATTGGGTCTAACTCAGCTCGTGGGGGTACATTACATTATTTATTCAAACTAACTTTTCATTTCGAAAAAAATAAATAAATTCAATTTATTTTCAAATAGAGAGAAGTTTTGTTTTTTTTAGAAATTTAAAGAGTTTCCAAATTAAATAAAAATATAATTTGCATATTTGTAAAATAAAAAAAGAAAGACCCATGAAACCTTCTGAAATATTTGGCCTGAGTTATGGTCATAACTTATTTTTAGTAGAATTCGGACTGACCCAATCCAACCCAACCCAACCCAACCCAACCCAATTTTAAGTTAAGGTTGAATTGAATTGGATTGAGCTGAGTTAGACCAATCCAATTTACAACCCTAATATTAACCATCTTACGTTGAATATGTCCTATGTCAGTAGAAAATTTGCCAACATGTTACATGACATTCCAAAAGAGAAAACGTACAAGATTTTGCAATAGAGTTCAATTTTGCACTGTTATTAATCACAAAAAAAACTGTCCATGTTCAATGTATATATCATCACTGTCACATTATATATATATATATATATAGAATTTAAAGAGTTTCCAAATTAAATAAAAATATAATTTACATATTTGTAAAGCAAAATATATATATATATAGGAAATCTCATGAAACTCGTCAAAAATATTTTAAGGGAGTTATGGTTATAATCCATTTAGATAAAATTCGTACTGATCCAATCTAACCTAATTTCAAGTTGAGTTTGGGTTGGTATTATTTTAGAAGACCAAATTTGCCAACATGTTACATGACATTCCAAAAGAGAAACGTACAAGATCTTGCTGTCACAGTTCAAATTTTGCACTGTTATTAATCACAAAAACTGTCCAGGTTCAATGTATATATCATCACTATCACATTATATAAATCAGCGTTAGTACCAGATTTCATTACAAACTGATCACATATCAAACCCTCCCCCACCCACCCACCACACAACCCCACAATACAGACAGTTATCTGAGCCATGGGAGAGGTAGATCCTGCCTTCATCCAAGCCATTGAACACCGGCCCAAACTTTCCATTACTGAAGATGAAGGCATTCCATTGATTGATCTATCCTCCATCTCTAACCCTAATCATGATGAGCTTGTAGCAAAGATAGGTGACGCATGCAAGAACTGGGGTTTCTTCCAAGTCATCAACCATGGGGTTCCCTTTGAACGTCGTCAGAAAATCGAGTCGGGGGCGAGGAAGTTCTTTGGTCAGTCCAAGGAAGAAAAGCTGAAGGTGAAGAGAGATGAGGTGAATCCGTTGGGTTATTATGATACTGAGCATACAAAGAATGTTAGGGATTGGAAAGAGGTGTTTGATTTTACTGTGCAGAATCCGACTCTCATACCGGTTTCACATGAGCCTGATGACAAGGAGGTGAGGGACTTGATTAATCAGTGGCCTCAATATCCTCCTGAATTAAGGTAATATATATATATATATATATATACAAAAATGACTGTTGAATATTATTTTATTTTTTATATTCCAATAATTACCTTTTTTTTCATGGTTGGTGTGAAAGAAAATTATTTGGTGACACATGTCATTACACTCACGCCGGCCTTGAGCGCAAAAATTTATAAGAGTGTAAATTTTTTATTAAAATGGACCAATAAACACATAAAATAATTATAAAATAAATCACCGAGTTTAAATATAAAAATATATATATTTTTTTCTTTTGAAAAGAGGGGATAGAAAATAAATTATTGTATAACATATATATAAATAGATATTATAAGTATGTGTATTTATTGTCATAATTTTTTTTTTTTTTTAAAATTATTTATTTTCATAAATTTACCGTATATATAAGTATATATTATTTTTTAATTATAAAAATTATGACCTAAATATCAGACTACATATACTTACATTTTGAGACCCTTCCAAATTGGAGGCCTAGGCGTCGCCTTGCCCCAGGCCGGCCCTGATTGCTCTCTCTATTTATATATCAATTGATTTTAGGGTCTTATATTTACATATATTGGTTTTAAACTAAAATAGAAAAATTATTAATTGATCAAAAAGGGTGGTACTTCAGCAATTCATTAGGCCTAGGCTAGTACTTTATTTGTTTATAACTTAATTGGGTTATATACACGTATGATGAGCATATTATTGGCATTAATTGATTATTAATTCATTTAAAGTTAGGTTGAATTCTGAAAAGGGATTAGTGTTACAAACATGGTTGCTTTGATTCCTCTCAGTTGAGCCTAGGGATTAGAATATGGATACTCAGGTAACATTAATTGTTATATGGAAATATGTATTCTCAAAATGACATCTATATTAGAGATTATTCACGATTGAGTTGAATATTTTGATGAATAATGATTTGTGGGCGGAATTGGACAGTTATTGAATCATATTTATGTGAGTAAGAATGTGATTGAGCCCACCACTCCACTCACATAAATGTGATTCCGATCCGTAATTGTGAAATTCGGTCTATAAATTACTATTTTATTTTGATTACAGAAATTCAACATATTTTTTTAGAATAGTGATTTAGGGATCAATTCTCGAATTTAATTTATGTGAAAGGGGTGATAGATCCCGATGAATCTCTCACATAAATTGAATTCGGTAATCGTTGAATTTAGTCCTTAAATCATTGTTATATATTTCATGAAATGTTTTTATCTAGGAGAAAACATTAATAAATTGTCTGTACGTCCACCAAAAAAGGTTATGGGGCAACAGAATCACATATATTTTTTAAATAAAGATACAAAAATGTTAATTGATGATGAAAAGTGGTTTCTAAGATTGTTTAGATTTTTCAAATCAACTAAACATTTTAGTACTTGAGCAATTCGTTAGGGCAAGTGCATGGTGCATGATTGTTATTGATCTTAATTGAGTAATTGGGTTATATATATGGAATATTTGCTGATGAATCAGAGAGGCATGTGAAGAATATGCTGAAGTATTGGGAGAATTATCTTTCAAGTTGTTGGAACTCATCTCCCTGAGCTTAGGCTTGTCAGTGAAACGATTGAATGGCTTCTTCAAAGACCAAACCACTTTTATTAGACTCAATCACTATCCGCCTTGCCCTATTCCTGACCTAGCTCTAGGCGTTGGGCGACACAAAGACGGCGGAGCCTTGACCATCCTTGCTCAAGATGATGTTGGTGGGTTGGAAGTGAAGCGAAAATCCGATGGAGAATGGATTCGTGTCAAACCTACTCCAAATGCTTATATCGTCAACGTTGGCGACATTATTCAAGTAATTTACCCTATCCTTCACCCGAATGCTAGCTTATATAATCTTCGTTGTCCCAGTTGGTATAATCACATATTTTTAGGCAGGACAGAACTTTAAAGGTTTAAGGGGCTATGCCCTATAATTTTTTTCAAAATTCCTAAACAATAGGCTTCCTATAACGAATGTGTCCTAAAATAGTGTGGTGCCAACAAAATTTTGTAAAATTCCTAAAAAATAAGTATTCTAATAATAATGAAGCACAAAATGGTAAAAGAAATTCAATGTTACCCTTCAAAACTTATAAAAACTTCAAATTGACTACACTATAGTCGTGTTTTAAAAATTCTACAATTCAAGAAAATGGACAAAAAAAAAAAAAAAAAAAAAAAGTTCAAATTTAATACTTATACATATTATTCTTCTTATTTTATGTAATCTTTGTAATTTATAAAGAATTTTCTTAGATCCACCATCTGAAAATCCTATTATATATATAAAAAAAGTATGTTTATAAATTATATGGGTGCATGTTTAATCTATTTTGTTGTTGTTCAAGATGATGATTAATTAAGCATTAGCATTGAGAATGGGTTGGGGTTATACATGCAGGTTTGGAGTAATGACAAGTATGAGAGTGTGGAGCACAGGGTGATGGTGAACTCGGAGAGAGAAAGGTTTTCTATTCCATTCTTCCTGAACCCAGCACACTATGTTATGGTAGAGCCCTTGGAGGAGCTCATAAGCGAGAAAAGCCCTGCTAAATACAGGCCATACAACTGGGGAAAATTCTTCTCCAACAGAAAGCGCAGTAATTTCAAGAAGCTCGATGTTGAAAACGTCCAAGTTCATCATTTTAAGGTAGCTGCAGAGTGATTAATCGGATCTTAATTTAGGGGAAATAAAATGTGCTACCATCAATAGTATAATGCTTTGTATATTAGCATAATAAATAAATAAGTAAATAATCAAGCATGCTATGTAGGGAAATAAGGGATCTGATTTCGTGACATGGTATGATAGCATCCATGCATGATCAAGTTTGTTTGTGCAAATCACATCAATGTATTTTTGTTTATCTTTTAGGTCTCCATATTTTTGGAGTTGAACCACAAGTGTAACTTACTGTTTATTTGTCCATTGAGAATATTATTTAGCACTTATATGGTTTGGGGTTGGTTGTGAGTGTTTTGAACCTTTTAGAGTCAAAACACGTCTATTTTTAGCCTTGAAAATACAACTGATGTATTTACAAACAGAACCGGTTGCATTTTTCCCAGTTCTTAAAACAGGTCTAAATAAAAACATAATCGGTTGCATTTTTTCCAAGTTCTTAAGACAAGTCTAAATAAAAACATAATCGGTGACGTTTCAAAACATAACTCGTTGTGTTTTCTTAATAAAAAATTGCTCTCACTAAAAACACAACCAGTGGTATTTTAAATAGAATCATGGCGTTTTCTTAAATGTACAAAATTTCAAATTTTGGTAACTTTTCTTACTTTTACCTATAAACACTTAGGAAAGTCCTTGTATGATTTTAAAAGTATTTAATTAATAATCATTGTGGGTAAATTAATCAATCATAAAAATTAAACAAGTTGACTTATATTGACCCCCTCAAAATCATGAAAGTATTATTTCACAACTTAATCAATTAACAACTTTGGTACCCCTATCACAAATCACACGTTCTAAGTCGTTAAGAAGGGACAAGAAGAGATGGACTGCATCTCCTACAGGAATTTTTACACTTCCCTATGGTTAATTGGCACAACTTAGTGTGGTGCTCACCAATTATCCCTAGAATGAAGCTGAAGCTTTGGTTGGCAGTGCAATCCAGATTGCCAACACTGGATAGCAAATCAATGGAAAATCATCTCAATATCTGCCCTTTATGCCAAACATACCCTGAATCACACAACCACATCTTCTTCAAATGTTGTTTGACCTCTCCATTGTGGCTATTTATCAAGTACAAATGCCAATTCTACACAGCAATCGCAAATTGGGAGAAACTCATTCAATGTATCAGTGAAAAAAAGAAAGCAATTCAGTTCCTAACCTGTTAAGGAAGGTATGTTTTTCTGCATTGGTTTATCACACTTGGGAGGAAAGGAATGAAAGGATCTTCAACAACAAGAGATCTTCTCAGAGGACAGTGCTAGCTCGAGTCTGCTCTACCATCACTGCAATTAAGCTTGGTTTCCTTCAAGATTGCTCTACTTCTAGAAAAATTCTCTCTGAATGGAACATCTCCCCTTCCTGTTGTCGACCTCCACCTCGTCCACTAGATTGAAGCTTGCCGGCAAGTCGCCGGCTTACATGCCCTAAAGTGCACCGGATAGTAAGGCAAACAACCTCCATTAACGGAATTACAGTCCGTTAATTTAGTTTATTAGCTTTTGTTATATATTGGGTCAATTCATGAGCCTGGTCTTTTGGTTTTGCCCAAAATTGGGCTGTTCCCCTAAAAGGGTCATTTGGCTTCTGGCCCATACTGTAACTATTACTTTCATTTCAATGAATTTACTTTAAATTCCACAAAAAAAAAAAAAAAAAAAAAAAAAAAAAAAAAAAGAAGAAGAATGGTAACTCGAACTCTAATACTACATCTAAACTAGTAAATGCTTTAAAAATAAAAATTTATTTAAAGGTAAAACATAAGTTTAATTAAAACTTATAATCTGAAACTTTAAGTAAAAATGATTAAAGAATAAATTATGGCTAATACTCCAGCTTACATATATATATATATATATTGGTATGTAAAAAGACATCATGCTATACCTCGGTTACGTTGGAGGAGTAAAGCTACATAAACTAAGTGTGGATGACCATCGCACGTAAGAGTGTAAAAGAGTAATGATTTATGGCGGATCCAGTTCAGCTCATGAATGATTCTAGAATCAAATCAATCATTACTCCTTTGCAAAGAGACACTATGAAGTGTAAGTCTGTGTTGCTGCAAGACCCTTTTACTAAAATTGAGCTCTATTTATAATGTTAGGTGGGAAGCCATTGGATTGATAAATGCACAAAAGCAATTATTTTATGCATTAAAATAAATATTTAATTAATTTAAATATTTTTTATGTTTTGTAAGTATTATTTCAAGAATGAAAAGAAAAGAAAGAAAAATAGAAAAACAAGTAAAATGTTGGCTGTATAAATGAAGGTTATATTTGTTAATTGCCAAAAGATAAATACGAGAAACATGATAGGAGAGTTTGGTGTTATGCACAAATTACTTTACAAATAGTCTCAACACAATAGTCTTACATATTTTATACACGAGGTTCTGATCCCGTCATATCACCACTGCCATGTCAATACTGACACCTCATCTTATAAAATAAAATAAAAAATTATTTTCACTGACACCTCGTTAGGTTTGACCATATTTCACCTTCAAATATCTTTCGAAAACAATTACCACTCAAATTCATTCTCACTTTTCCATCACTGTTTCCATTAAAAATATGTAAAAAGACAATTTTGTTCCTAATTTTTTAATTTCATTCATTCTTATATATCATGTAATGTTTCACATTTTCTATTTTTATTTTTCAGGGATTTTTTGATTTTTTAGATTATTTTATTTCCTCACCTTGTTTTGCGTGCTGGACACTGTGGGGTGTGTCGTGTGAGTTCCAAGAGTTGGTTGAGACATTTCTTTGAGTTTTCGATTCTTAGAAATGCATTGTTGGACATTTTGACATTTTTCTAATTTTCAGGCCAAGAGGTCTCGGGTGAGACCCGCACCCAATTTTTCATGCGTTGGTGGTCTTTTTGGGACCATATGCATTCCATTATATTCATTTAGTGCAAATTTGTGTGGCTATGTGTTGAACCAATAGGGAGGGGGTGGGGTGGGGGGGGGGTGAATTGGTTAAAACTTTACTAGATTATACTTTCTTGAGACAATTAAACAAGCATTCAAAGATCAGTCAAAACAAGGTTTACAAGGAAACCCTCTTAACTAGGGAAAACCTTGGTTCTTGGCCACAACCAATATAAAATTCACTACTAGTTGTATGTATCTTGTTATACTCTCCGCTGTCTCACTCTCTACACACACCCAAGCACAAGAATAGACACTAGTTTTCACAACCAATACACACACTAGTACACGACAGTGCACACAAGCACTCCCCCTATCCTAAACAACCATGCTGGGACCTAATAAGCTTTCATAGCTCACCACACACACCATTACAGATGTAAATAAGTATAAAAAAGTCTTTCCTACAATTAAAATAGGCTGGACAACACAAAACTCCAAGTTACTGCCTCAAAACTACAATTTGCTGCACTTAAGGTTTGAGGGGTAAAATGGAAAATTTCTCTCTAGATCAATTCACCAGCACCTTACACAGTCGTCTTTCACTGTAGTACTCATATTCACAGCTTTGTATAATCAAACATAGCATGAGTATATCACAAAGTTCAATCACAGTCCTTATATCAACACAATACAACTTTAGCCTTAGGGTTTGAATACTCAAAATCAAAGCATACCTTTTTTCTGTCACAAGGTCAACTTCAATAATCTTGATTCAGCATAATATACTTGCAAGCAGTTTAATAACTCATGAAATAGCTAAGTATAACCAATCAGTACTTGAATCCAAGATTAAACCAGAAAAACAAGCTTAACTAGTAATCTCATAGTCCAAATTCACTTTCATCATGTTTTCAACACAAACACAGTACTGAGCAAATGTAATAAGTTGAGTTACACTTGCGTCAACCCTTAGAGTAGACCACAGCTACTTGAAACACAAATTCAATACTCAGACCAGCCCTTGCACCAGTAGAACTGACAGCAGCAACATCTTCTCAGCAAATACACTAACAGGACTAGAATCAGTGAGTTTTTCTTGCATGAATCATCATCAAAACACTCAGAAAAACTTGTTCATTCAAGGCTCTCGAGAGAATACTAGTTGCAACTCACTTTTCTAAACTTTCATAAGGGTTAAACCCTAAGGAGCCTTATCACATCATATTTATACCAGTGTACACACATCAGCCCTTGTACAGCTACTACAATACACCTATCACCTTCCACCAATCATTGGGAGAGCATAATTCAGATATTTTCAGGCCAATGAACCAATGAAGGCCTACCACCTCAGCTGTTTTGTCATTATTCTCACCAGCTTTTACAAGTTACAGGTTGTATGCTGCAATATCAATTTTATCCAGACTTAGCCTCCAAGAAATGTAATAGTCTTACATATACTATCATTTTAGGACCACTGATACGTGACACATTCTTGAGCACAGCTAGAAAGGACCAAAATACCCTTTTTAACAATTTTAACCTTCTTAACCAAATAATAATCCCAAAGCTATATAATTCACAATGTAGGCTCAACCAAAGCTATTCAGTGCAATGCAGCTATCAAGACACACGTATATACATGGAATACAATTGAGAAAAGACCATAATACCCCTGTGAGCACCTGTAGCTGAAATTAAAGTACTGGACCTTCACTGTCACAATGATTTTAATCAAAACAAGCTAATACATTGTAATGCACTATTACAAACCAGTGAATAAAATGTGTTACAACGTAGTAAATGACAATACAGACAGAGTTCATACAAGAAGCCACTGAAACTATACGTTTTGACATTAAGAGGCAAACATTCCTTAAGGCAACTTAGGACCAACACTATGTGCTTAAATGAGTATTATAGCATGTATATATGTGTATAATTATGGAATGAAGGCAAAATAGATATTTTTGGGCATGTGGGACCTACCTTGACTTAAGGTGTATCTATGCGGACTTGGAACCTCATTTTTCTACAAAATTCCCTTTTCCTTCAGCCGCAACATCACTTTCTCTCTCTAAAAACATCCACTTTCAAGCTTGATTTTTCCATCTTCTATCTAGATTTGGACTTTGCCATTGAAGGCAAAGTTTATGAGCACAATGAGGGCTATGATTTGATCGAAGCCGATGTTCAATTAGAGCACTTTGGATTTTCGAAAATTTGGAAAAAATTAGGGCTTTTGTTTGATTTTGAGGTAGGGGTTTCTAAGGCACTCTTTCTTTGATCTTAGTGAATTTCTCTTATAGAATTTGGTCAAAAACATGCTTAATTAGTATATATTGTTTATGACAATTAGGGTTCGTATGTGTGATGTGTGATAGTTATGTTTCATGTGATAAATGTGTTGATATATGATGGTTTACTTGATTTGTGTGAAGAAGTATGCTTTGTTTAAATTGCTATATGCCTCACATGTTTAGATGTAATGATTGTAAAGTTATAACTACGATAAACTGGAATCAAAGTTGTATGATTCATATATCAAAACTGATTTACTAGGTAGGTATTTATAGAATTTACAAGGGAAAGAAAAAAAAGGAAGGGAATAACTGATTGCTAATTTCTAGAAAGAGACAAATCTCCTAAAATCATGTACATCTATAAACAAGTCAAAGATTCCCTATACATACGAATCGTTAACAGCTAGCAAATTTGATCATATATATCATCAACAGATACGATTGTATTTAATTCAAAATATTTTTCAACACTCCCCCTCAAGCTAGTTTGAAGATATCTTCCATAACCAGCTTGCCCATTAAAATTTCAAATTGTTTCTTTGGAAGTCCTGATGAGCGATGAAAAGTGCATATTCAAACCCCTTAAGCTTGAGTATTCTAGGACCTTTATCTATCTTATTTTTCCGTTTTAGATTAATTTCGTGTTATTGCCCTTTTCAGGCACTTATCCCCAAAATAAGTCAATTCAGCCAAATTAGAGCATAAAAGAAGCAATCTCAAGCTAAATGGAAGGAAAGAGCAAAGTGGAAACAAAGTGGTGAAAAACAACAAGTTTCGTCAGACAAATCTTCGATCGATCTCACAATGATCGATCTGGCCTTATCAAGATGGATCGAGCCTCTTGTCCTTATCCCCAAGAATTTCCATCTTCGATCGATCCAACATCCTTTCGATCGATCAAACTTCTTTGATCTTATCCTTACCTACCACTTCTTCTTTTTTCCCAAAAAATCCCGAAAATATCTCAGATCTGTCAATATTCCAAAAGGCACCACCATGGAGTTGTCATGGGCCGGGTTGCATTAACGGTTGGAAAAGGTCATGAATGGAAAAGGTTTTGGAAAAATGGTGAGCAACACTAGCACCGCATTGGCATGAATTGTATAAAATGTGGATTTGTGACTTATGATGTTGATTTATTTTCCCTAAATGAGTATAATCCTGTTCCTTATTCTCTATGCTTTGTTTAGATTCACGGGGTCATTAAAAGGTGTGTTTTAGGCACCTCCTGCTGAGCTGTTGTGCTCACCTTTTCATTACTATTTTCAGGTCACGAGAAAGAAGTTATGGACGACCCACAACCTCATACATGATGACATTGAGGACCTCTTTTGTTGACTAAATGTTTATGAAACATGTAATAGTTGATGTTTTGGGGAATTGGAATGAAATATGTATTCATTTTATTGCAAGCTTGTATTTATTTACCATTTGTGTTCATTTTGCGGATGGAAATAGTTTTGAGACAATTCTTTTAATTTTTGCGATCTCATTAGGATTTCTAATCCCATGTAAGCCTTATGGTCAAATTTTAAATGTAATCGGACCTACTTTGGAATTTAAATGATGTATGGGTTCCAATTTGTTGTCATTTATAATCTTGTGTATCATGTTTGAGTATGTTAGAAAGCACTCTAATGACCTCCAAGGGACCAAAGAGGTGTCCATGTCCATAAACACTCAATTTAGACTTTTTGAGGCTATTTTAAGCATTCTGGTCATAGGGAACCGGTTCAAGGGGTTGAACTGGTTCAACTATATTTTGCAAGAAATATACTAAAGTGTCATAAGAAATCATGCAGAGGTAGGTCGCGAGCATACAAGGCCATCCAGTAAGGATGGATTTGAAGAACGAACATAATTAGTCATTTAATCTAAGGAAGATGATATAAACTATCATTTAATAATTTACAGGTCTACCACCAGGGCAAGGCCAGGAGGTCTTGCACTAATGTCAGACTGGTATTTAACTAAAGGATCTCCCACCAAGGTAGAGCAGAGTGTCCCACCACGACAAGGCCAGATAGGTCTCCAATCAAGCTAAGGCCAGATATGGTCTTCCACCTAGGCAGGGCAAGTTCTTCCACTAAGGTAAGGTATGGTCTCCCACCAAAGGTAGACATGTCCTACCAAGACTAGAGGTAGGTCGCTAGCATACAAGGTCATTCAGTAAGAATGTTTTTGAAGAACAAACATAATTGGTCATCTAATCCAAGGAAGATGATAGAGACTATCATTCGATTATTTATAGGTCGCATCACCAGGGCATCCTCAAACATGACTACTCCCCTTATAAAGGGAGAGATGGGTTAAGCCCCTATAATTTCCTTAATTATTTAGGGGATGAGCTGGGTTAAGCCCTTATAATTTCCTGAATTATTATGGGAAACCTAAATCCCTTGCTAAGGGCAAATTCATGAAGCTCAGCGTAACGGGTGAGCTCACGAAACTCAAAAAATTCACTCTCTTATTAAAGGGTGAACTCACGAAGCTCAAAAAAGCTTACTCTATTATTAAAGTGAGCTCATGAAGCTCAGTGAAATACACTTCCCTTTTAAAAGGGTGAGCTGAGTGAAACTTGTAAAATATACTTCCCTTATTAAATGGCGAGTTGAGTGAAACTCGTAAAAAAATACTTTATTTATTAAAGAGTGAGCTAGGTGAAGCTCGACAAACTCTACTTCCTTTATTAAAATGATGAGTTGAGCGAAGCTTGGACTATCAACTCCTTATTAAAGGATTAGATAAGTATAACAACTTTAATGTTAAAGGGACAAGATGAAAGCAACAATACATGCTTTGCTCGGATTGAAAACAACTCGACACAAAAAAGAAGATAAATAGTGTATGGCATTCCCGATACTTGATAAGCAAGCTCGGGAATGAGGGGCAACTGATAAGGATAATTTAAATAAGATAAGGTAGTTCAACTGTAATTGTCTAGTTTGAAATTAAACGGAGGTGGTTGAGCTGATAATAAGTAGATCATAATAGTTCAAATTCAAAAGGAAGAGTCTCCTTAAATATCTCTTCAAATCCCAACAAGTCGCAATAGTTGTAACAAAGCATCGTTATAAATATGACCTCTCACCAACCAAAGAGGTATGGGACAATTAATATATTAAATTCCTACTTTTACTTTAAAGCTCCAGTAACTGACTTGATTGTCGGAGATCTCTTGGTAAGCACCATATTGGTGTCGATCAAGGTTCACCTCTTTGTTGTAGGGAAACGTTGTCGTGCAGAATCATGCTTCAACAATTTTTATTAATTAAAATTACAAAATGGTAGTTATAATTTTTAATTGTGATGTACGACATAATTCTGCATAGTTCGATAAGCAGTTCGACAAGTCCGTTTTCGACAAACCAATTGTGTATTTTGGGTGGAAACGATGCATTTTCGGCTGAAAACCTTCATTTAGGGCTCCAAAATCACGTTATATCGTCTTATACGAGGCTTGCTAATTATTTCAGGATTTTTGTTCAGGGCCTTAACGAACTCAGATTGCTCTAAAATTTTTGATTTATTAGGTTTCTTATTGTTTTTTTTTTTTTCATATTTTTTAGTGAGAATTTATTTTTATACTTATTTCCAAGATTAGTTTCCTTGTAGGATTAAATTTTAGTTTTCTCTATTATAAATATACATGTAATGCATTAACATTATAAAACCTTTTATTAATAATATTTCAGAATTTTTTATGAATTTATCTCTTATTTTGTGAATTCAAAACACCCAACTTTGAGGTCTCACTTTCGAACCACACTCCTGACTTAAATAGTGCGTATGTTATGGGACATATGCACGTGTTCTAAGGAAAAAAATAAAAAATTAACCTGTTCCTTGTGAACAATTTATCACTTTCCATTACATCGAATTGTGTTCTTTAAATCTCGAACATCTAACCGCCCAATACAAGTTTCTATTGGTTCTTTACATAAGGTTTTGGGTTCCACCTGTTGTTGAATTGACTATCCTTTTTAGTCATTATTTGAACTAAACAGCCACCGTATATCTATTTTTAGTCATTATTCCCAAAATTTAACCGAGCTTAAATGAAATCTAGATTTGAATTCACTAACTCTAGTTGAGTTCGTGACTTTTGTACTTAGAGAATTCACCGATTCATACGCGGAGCGTGGGAGCGTAGCCCTAGTTAGGGAATTATATAACTTAGGTCACAAGGAGATCTACCTGGTGGTACCATTTTTCTTTCATGCCGCGCAATTTAAAGAGAAGTTCATGACAGCTATGATGGAGTCGATCGTGTCCTACCATTGCTTAAAGGAAAAACTGTCAATAAAATCGAACAAAACGGTCACCTGAAACTGAAATTGGGGGATTAAAGTTAGCAACTAATATAAAGAAGCCAACAAAACCAGCTCCGAATCACGAAACCGACCCCCCCCCCCCCCCCCCCCCCCCCCCCCTTTCTCTCTCTCTCTCTCTATCAAAGCGTATGTCTTGCAAAAAGTGGAGAAGAGAACGATACTCGGACAATCCAAAGAGCTAAAGCAAAGCACCTTAAAAAGGTTGAAGTATCCCAAAACCATCACCACCCAGTGAAACAAATCCCAAATCCCAACACACAAAACCCCCTCCCTCTCTCTCTCTCTCTCTCTCTCTCTCTCTCTCTAGAATTCGAAATGGGACTCTGTTTCACAAAGGGATTCTGTTTCAGAAAATCCCATGAAATCCCAATCTCCTCCTCCTCCTCCTCAGACTACTCTCCTCCTCATGACTATCGTCCCATACCCATTAAATCCAAAGAACCAATTATAAACCCAACATTCCAAACAGCCCCTTATTCGAACACGACTATGCCTAAAACTTCATCATCATCATCATCATCATCTTCTTCACAGATTGGACCGATTCTGGGCAAACCCTATATTGAGGTAACCGAACTCTATGATCTTGACAAAGAATTGGGGAGGGGTCAGTTTGGGATTACTTATCTGTGTACAGAGAAAACCACAGGGTTGAAGTATGCATGTAAGTCCATTTCGAGGCGAAAACTGGTGAGCCAAAAGGACATTGAGGATGTGAGGAGGGAGATTTTGATGCTACAGCATTTGAATGGGCAGCCCAACATTGTGGGATTCAAGGGTGCTTATGAGGACCGGCAGAATGTGCATTTGGTGATGGAGGTTTGTTCGGGGGGTGAGCTTTTCGACCGGATCACCGCCAGAGGGAATTATTCGGAGAAAGAAGCCGCCGGGATTGGCCGCCAGATTGTGAATGTGGTACATGTGTGTCATTTTATGGGGGTGATGCATAGGGACTTGAAGCCTGAGAACTTCTTGCTGGTGAGTCGCGACGAGGATGCTCCCCTCAAGATCACCGATTTCGGACTCTCTGTTTTCATTGAGGAAGGTCAGATGCAAATTTCAATTCTTTTCGACCAATCTTTGTTTTTGTGCACTTGATTGTGATCCTCTAGCTTCCATCAAATTTTTTTTTTTTTTTTTTTTTTTTTTTTTTTTTTATTGTCTAAATACAATTGTGTAATTTAAATGATTTGTTTGCATACCTTGAATTGTTTTCGAGTACTGCAATGTTAAATGAATAATACTTTTGTTCATGTATGATTATTAATTGTAAAACTTTTAAGAATTTTTTTTAGTGTTCTTGATTTTAAATAATTTTGAAAATTTGTAGTTGGTAGAGTGAAGTTTATTTCAAAAGAGGCTAAAGTGAATGCAATGCCCAATTGGGATTTGAATACCCTCACATGGTTTGTGTGTGCGCGTAAACTTGGTAAACTTGCGTAAACCGAAGCTAGCGTGATTAATGAGTTCATCTGGATGCCACTTTGGGTCTACTTGACTAAGTCAATGGTGAAAGTGACAAGTCAACCAAGTCAATGATTTTTTTCCCTCTATTATTAAAGAGAAGACAAAGAGGCATAGGTTAAAATCAAGTAGCAGGTCAGTTGTACACACCAGTGAAGCTGGTACGTACGTGGTTTGGCTCCATTTCTTGGTGTGAATGAGCATCATCTCTATTTTGGTTAAGTAGGTGTTGTCACCTCATTCATGAAATGGTTGTACGTGTTAAGTTTTGTCACTTACAAAATGAACTTTGCATTTTGTTGTATTGGATTGAAGTGACATGATCCGAGTCGTGTTTGCTTTCTGTTTAACTAAAAGTATTATGGTCGCATTGATGATACTGTGCTGAACTTGGGACCCTGTCAAATTCCACCAACCCAAATAACAAAGAAATACTAACTCTGTTTATAACAAATAAATCGAACTGTTACAATATGTTAATTTTTAAATAACTATTTCCTATTTAATTGAATAATAAAAAATAAAAATAAAAACATAAGAATTTTGGGTTTAGTGATATTAAAAAGTAGACAGAAAAGGAACCTAGTGGCTCCATTTATGATCCTGTTATGTTGGTCATTATTACAACTACCCATTACTTTGTCTTGTTATCCATTTGCATATATCTACAAATGGATTATCATTTTCCAAGTAGGAATGAACATTGACCTAAGAGAAACTCTGCTATTGAATATTTTTTCATGATTTGGTAGAAACTAATGCAAATGGTGTTTGTGAAGTTACGCGATGCGGAAGCTGTTAGTTGATTTAATTTTAATTAACAACTTAAATAACCTAGATGAGATTAATAGGTCAATTTGTCCTATTCTTGTGATTGATTAAATTACCTAAGTAATATGATTAATTAAACATTTACAATCACAAAGATAAATATTGAAAAGTAAAATAAGTATAATTAGAGAGATGGCACCAGAATTTTTAGCGTGTAAACCCCAATTGGTAGAATAGACCAATTATTGTGGGAAAATCTCGTGGATTGTGCAGTTCAAAATAAACCGATCCACTATGTTTTGAAACAAAGTACAATGGACTTTGACTCAGGCTCACACCCCATCGTTCTACCAAACACCAATCGCTGACAATCTTCTGGCTTTGCGACGTCCCGTCCAACAGCTCTTGACTTTAGGCTTACTCTTGATCTCTGTAGAAGGATTGGTGATAGATTAAACAACACTCCTCGAATGCTTTAACCTTTCAAAGTGTGATCACTTCACCTCTGTTCCTCAAGATCCGGACTTTGTTGTAGAAGAATTAAGTCTGCTCTTTCGGAATCTCTGAATCTTCAAATTAAGCTCCAATTCCGATGAGATAGAGAACAATACTACTAAATGACTCATGAATATATGTGTGTGCTCTCAAAAATAAAATCAGAAAAATCAGATTTGGTTTTTTAAAAAATATCTCTCTAAAGGCTTTATTAAAATAATGAAATTTTGTTTCTTAAAGACATACCTCAATAATGAATGAAAGACGCATTATATAGAAGTTTGGAAGACCTAAAAACATTTGTAAAACAAGTGAAATTCATGCATAGAATTTTAGAAGTAAGTCTGGACCAAAAAGGTTTCAAAACTGATCAGAAACTGAAACTGGATTTGGTTACCGGTTCAGGAATGGCAAAGATTAATCCGACGTGATTGTTGAACCAGTAGAGGGATTGGCTACCGGTTCCCAAAGGACAGTGAAAAATCCTTCGAAAACAGCAGTTGGCTATCGGTTCCCGAAGTGGCTACCGGTTCCCAATAGACATAAGTGAATACTTCTATTTATTTCAAACTTCTAAAACTTCCTAAGTGTTCTTACACACTCACATACATTTCTGAAGCATTGTTCTCATCATTCCGGAATATATTAAAGTATGAACACTTGAACTTCTTCAAATCTGTATCCGATCTTCAATTTTGAAATTTTGAACAGAAAAATTACAACTCGATTGAATTTATTTTAACAACGAAATTAGCCAATACAAAATATATATCTCACAGTGTTCAATTCAATGCATCTCACATTGGCTTAAAAAACATAAGAATTTCGGGTTTAGTAATATTAAAAAGTAGACAGAAAAGGAACCTAGTGGCTCCATTTATGATCCTGTTATGTTGGTCATTAATAGAACTACCTATTACTTTGTCTTGTTATCCATTTTCATATGTCTACAAATGGATTATCATTCTCCAAAGTAAGAATGAACACTGACCAAAGAGAAACTCTGCTATTGAATAATTTTTCATGATTTGGTAGAAACTAATGCAAATGGTGTTCAATTCAATGCATCTCACATTGGCTGCCTTGTTTGCAACACCACGAAAAAAGATGGTAAGCAAGGCATATGACAACTGAAAAAGAAATCACGGTCATGTTCAGAATGATAAACGTATTCATCAAATTATTTTTCTTATCATGAATATATAATATGGATTATTCTCTAGGAAAAATTTATAAGGACATCGTTGGAAGTGCGTACTATGTGGCCCCAGAGGTGTTGCGTCGGAACTATGGCAAGGAGATTGATGTATGGAGTGCTGGAGTCATTTTATACATTCTCTTATGTGGAGTGCCTCCATTCTGGGCTGGTATGAAAATTTTCATTTCTGTTTTTAATTAACAAAATAAACAGATTTCATATTATCAAGTTTTGGAAGTTTGTTTATCAGGCAACTGATATGACCGAAAGTTTAACTAGATCTGCTTGCTGTCCATCTATGATTGCATTTGGTTGACCATCCAACTGGAGGATGATGGCTTATGTTTTATTAATATGAAAATAGCTTGAGTTCTCTTGTGTTGCAGAGACTGAGAAGGGCATTTTTCAAGCAATTCAAGAAGCTCGAGTTGACTACGTGAGCTCACCGTGGCCTTCTATATCTGCTCCTGCAAAGGATCTGATCAAGAAAATGTTAACGATGGATCCCAAAAAGCGGATTACTGCTGCCCAAGCCCTTGGTTAGTACACATAGTAAAAGGTTCAATATTAATTATTTTATTTATTTATTTTTTATAAATTTATCACTCCCACACGCAGTCATGCCTCTTAGATAGGTCTGAGCAAACTGCCTATTCTGATCTGAACATTCAAATGTGTCGTCAACATAGGAATTTTTTCAGGCATCAGGTAATATATTTAACTCATCCCATGTGTTGTGAGATTTATATGTACCACTCGTAAGTGTATGAATCTTTGCAGATAGGGTTTATTTGTAAGGGTGTCGTACCCAAGGAACTTGTGTAAATTAAATTTGTCAACAAATTTCTTAAATTCCAAAATTAACTCGAAAGTAAGATAATCGATTTGTGATGATTAATTTTAAATTAACTAAGTAGAAAAAAAATAAAATAAACTAAAAAATGATGATCAAATATGATGTAGAAAATAGAGAGAGAGAACTAGGGGTATGATTTCACCACTAACGTCGCACCACCAGTCAATTGCATCAATTTATTGGAGATATTTCCGATAACATGCATAGGGAATTTGTCATGGCTACAAACACATATTAATTCAGCTAAAAAATAATATAATTTAAAGTTAAGCATGGATTATCTTCGATTGTTATAAACCATCTACCTAACTACTGTACTTTAGGGTGTAGCATGGTTTATCTTTTCTAGGCATAATCCATCAAATCTCTAACATCATATTCACATAAAAACTATTGTGTAATCATCTCATTCACAACTACAAGAAGTTTATGAGTTGTGTTCAATCACAAGATTAAAATATCTAATACAATATAAAAAAATATTTGTAATTGAATTAAAACTCTAAAACCCGATTCTTATTGAAAAGTCAATTAAAAATCCTATAGATTACACAATCATGCATGAAAAAAATTATTCGCCAATAATTAAATACAATCAAACCAGTGTGCTAAGTTAGGGCTACATCACAACCCTAGCAAAGCGTTTAGCCAAGCATGAATGGAGTAGAATTCTTCGTGGTTGAGGAAGACATCTTCACCGTCATGGATCGATCTCTTCTCTCTTCTGAATGCTCCTCTCTGATCTCAGACTCAAGCTCCTCTGTATGATGATCTAATGTTGTAGAGGACCCCCTTTAAATAATAAAAGATCAGCCCTAAAGTTCCCTTTTTCATATAAGAGACTTACATAGAAATTCTGTCAAATAAGGACTCCAAAATTCGTACGGACTTCTAGCCAATTTTGACAAGGTAAACAGCTGTTTTAGGGAATCCTCGTGAAATACAAAATTGTAACTCTTCGAATTTCCTTTCAACCCTCGTGAGAATTTAGCCGTTTTGACACTTGAGGAGAGAGATACAGTCAGATTACCAAAACGGGTTCAAGTTACCAACTTTGGCGAAAGTTTCCTTTTTGGAGAAGGAGTTTTCCTTTTCTTCTTCTTTCCATTCTCATCAACTTGTGGCTTCTTTTGGAATATTTTCTAAGTATAATTAGACTTGAATCTTCAACATTGCTCGGTCCCACGGAATGTCATCTGTTAAAGCTCAGAATCACTGGTCTTGACTGATTTTATAATTAAAGTGTTGAAATAAATAAAAATAATAAAACAATGTAAAATCACAAATAAACTATTATTAAGCGAATAAAACATGCAAATAAAGAGGCTAAAATGTGTAACATTCAGCGTCTAACACCTTGGCTTATCTAAGAGGGCGGTATGGGATTCCATACAACATATTGGATTTTTCATTGTTATAGAGCATATATGATTTCTAATTAGCAACTACTAGAACCATCAATATTTATTTTACACCATGACATATGAACCAGAACATCCGTGGCTTAAAAAAGATGGCGAAGCATCGGACAAGCTTATTGATAGTGCTGTTCTAATCAGGATGAAGCAATTCAGAGCAATGAATAAGCTGAAGAAGCTTGCTCTAAAGGTATCATCAAACACTTCTCAGATTTCAAATTAGTTGGATGTAAAATGTTCAAAGACCAACGTGGTGGTCGGGTTTTTCATTGCCCAGATGATGTCCATTGCAACTATATATTCTTCTGTATGCTGGATGTCCCCTTCAATTGAAATCTCCCCTTGCAAAAACCATTTCCTTTGGTGTAAAATCCTAATAATTGAAACTAAAAAAACAAAGGAGGCCAATTCTTTCTTAATTGATTGTTTTCCAATTGACTGGAATTTTGTGGTTCACTTGAAGGTCATTGCTGAAAATCTCTCAGAAGAAGAAATCAAGGGCTTGAAACAAATGTTCAAGAACATGGACACTGATGGAAGTGGTGCAATCACATACGACGAACTCAAAACTGGCTTATCTAGGTTGGGATCCAAACTTACTGAAGCAGAACTACAACAGCTGATGGAGGCTGTAAGACCTTTTCTAAGCATCTCATTATATCCATCTTTTGATTTATTGAACAAAATAAATGACAAACAATGCATTGAAATTTTAATGGACGTTGTAAGCTCGTTTAGTACTTCAAATAACGATCCTTAAGTGAACAAGTAGCCTTGAACCAACAAATGAAGTTGATTGCTGATGTTATTTCATTCCCCAGGCTGATGTTGACAAGAATGGGACTATTGATTACTCTGAATTCATTACAGCTACGATGCACCGTCATAAACTTGACAAAGAAGAGAATTTGTACAAGGCTTTCCGGTATTTTGACAGGGATGAAAGCGGGTTAGTATTCTATAAATATTGACAGAAGTTGACCATATGTATAAATTGACTTGGAGGAGTTCACCCCGGTGAATTACTTGGAAAAGTGAACTGCTTAGGAGGTCCTCCCATATGGTTTCATATCTTAATTTCCATAATTTCATAGATTGGGGAAGATCTCAACATACTACCATTGAAATTGTTTGATTTATATTCACCAGGTTCATTACAAGAGATGAGCTGAGACATGCCATGGCACAATATGGTATGGGGGACGAGGCTACTATAGACGAAGTTATTAATGATGTGGATACTGATAAAGTAATTAATTATCTCATAAGCATGTCAGTATAATTTGTGCTTTATCTTAAAAACCCTGTGAAGCATATATTTTCGTAACTACTTGAAACCAATTATATTTCCTGATATATTTAATTAATTAATTAATTATTAATTTTGATGAAGCTCTATAATTTATTGGTTGATTTCCATCATGCAGGATGGGAGAATTAATTATGAAGAATTTGTAGCCATGATGAGGAAGGGAACGCTTGATACTGATGGGTCACAATCGCAGAATTAATTGCTTGCACCATGTCAAAATAAATAATAAAAAACAAAAACCCAAGCTATTTGGGTTTCACAAGTTGCTTCAAGTTGATTTTTATCTTGTCCATTTCTCTCCTGTATTTATGATGTATGTGCTGTTCATAGAGAAAAATAAACAATGTATATGCAGTTTTTGAGGTTAATAAACTGCCTTAACTCAAAAAGAGTTGGCTTTAGAGACGATATAAATTTTACAAAATCAAGAAGTTTAACAAGGGATCAATCGAGTGTCTTTGATTAGGGGTTCTTCTTCAATGAACACTAAGCTTCAAAACAGAATACAAATTCTCACCGAGAATGTGGATATTGAAGAAAGTTGCTCTAATAACTCAACTAATCACTATTCTTTTTGCTTATAGTATTTTTATTTTTTGGTTTCAAGTAGTTACGAAAATATATGCTTCACAGGGTATTTAAGATAAAGCACAAATTATACTGATATGCTTATGAGATAATTAATTATATGCTAATTAATAAATATTTAAATATTTTATTTATTTATTTATTTATCCTAAATGAAGAAAATTATATAAATATGTAACAATATGGTACAGAGTAAGAAGTGAGGTCAAAAAACCTCACTGAAACACACACACACACAGAAAAGCAGAGTTAGACCCTGCAACCAAACCCTAAGTCCCTAACTAGCTTAGAATAACTATTTATTAATATTTAATTATTAATTAATAATTAAATATTCAACTCAAATATTTAATTAAAAAGGCAAATAGAAGCAATAAATAAATAATAAATATATGAATCTTGACAAGGCTAGTATTTTATAAGCAAATTGTGCTGAATCATTTCTATAGTTTTTGACTCCCAGAATACAATGGTCATTTCATTCACCAGAAGCAACACTTCAAATAAGTAGATCCAGTGAACCCACACTTTGTAACACTGAAAGGACCAAAAAACCAGTGGGCCATTTTAGTCCAACAGATCCAAATTGGACCAGACTCGACCCAATCGTACTCCAGAAGGAAACATATCCTCAAGCGATGAGGCCGAAAAGGAGGAGTCAGACCCATCGAGCTCCAATCTGGAAGCAAAGCAAATAACTTAGGATAAAATATAAACTACTATAAATAGAAGAGGAGAGGCGTAAAAAAAGGAGAGTTGTTTGGAGTATAAGAAAAACTTTCCAAGAATAGAAGAGAAAATTTATTGCATCTTCATCTGGCGCTATTTGTGGGTAGTCAAGAGGAAGATCTGTCGGTTTCCACGTTGAACTATGACTCAGCTTCGATCGGGAACCATGATTAGAGAAGGAAGCTCCCACCAGCAGAATGAGAACGAGCGAATCACGCATGATGAGTTGATATAGATCATTGAAACTCTATGACGAGATAACGCTGAGCTCAGATCCAGGATGGAGTAAAGGGAAGCACCACCACCCCCTCAACCGCCAATGGAGGATGAAATGGTGGAGTTAACATTTGTACATTAGAAAGATGACAAAAAATCCTTGAGTTGGAGCTCAATAAATTTGGATTTAAGATGACTAAGTTATTACAGTTTCAATTTCTATTGACAAATAGGCCAACAGGGTTTCAACATGTGCCCCCACGCGCGTTCGACGTGCTTGCACGCGCCTGATTAATCCTCTGCGGCTGTTGGTGTAAGCTTATTGGCTGAACTCAGGCGCTATTGTAAGCGCGGCCACACCAAATCATTTCCCCGATACCATGTGTGCATTGTTGTGTCAATAATAAATAACCACTCGCAATAGAACGAATCCTTGTAAGATAGGGTTATGTTGAGGGTGTCGAACCTCAAGGACTGTGCTAGTTTATCATGTGACGACCCTGGTTTTTAGGCTAACGTGTCCTGTGATGAACCGTAAGGATGATCCGATAACGGATCCGAATGCGGAAGCGAAAACAGAAAACAAGACTCTAAGAAGTCAAAGTGACCTTCCATGAGGTCGTGGAACTCAACAAGAACTGATACGGAAGCAAAAGATAAAAAATATGACAAATAAGCCCCCAGGGGCAAAATAGTCATTTCTGAAAATCGTAGATTCCGGTGCTACCGAGCACCCCGCTGGAAGGACAACGAAAAACTAATGAAGATGGACTCAAGAATAGTATAATTCGGAGTCTGGACGAAGGAGAAACGACATGACGAAGAAAAACGAGCACATAAAGCAAAAAGGGTAAACTGGTAATTATCCAGGAAGAACCAGGTGCAACCGAGCACACCGTTGGAATGACAGCGAAAAATTAATCAAGTTAAAAAAAAAAATTCACTTGAATCGGAGTCCAGACGAAGGAGAAAAGCCCAAAAGAACAATTGACGTCGCGGCGGCCCGACGAGGGGCCATGGCGCACACAGCGCCCATGCGCGAGCCCACCGGCGTGCATGCCGGCGCCCAAAGACATGGCTGGTGGCAGCCCTTGGCTGCGGCTACATTTTTCTTGATCTGCCCAGAACTGAGGCTTGAAACAAAGGTCAAGACGAGTTTTTCTGGAAAAACACGAAGAAGAAACCCCTCCCTAAAATCGAGTTTTCTACCCGACAACGCGAACGGAATCGAAAAAAACTCACTGTAAAATCTCAAAAATGCCCCTAGATCAGAACTGAACAAGAGGGTCATAAAGCTGCTAAATGAAAACTGGAAGCTGAAACTTCACGAGGGATTTCTGGTACCAAGACGACATTTTCTGGAAAAACACGAAGAAGAAACCCCCCTAAAATCATGTTTTCTATTCAACCATGTCAAAAGAAGAAAATAAAACTGATGTGAAAGGTCCATAAAGCCCCTAGATCAGAATATGCAAAAAAAAATGCGAAATGAATTCACAAGAGGCTCAAAACACAAACGATAAGGTTTTGCCCGGAAACGACCATGCACACAAATGTAACTTACCTATTTAGACGCGCTACAATGGTCCATGGCTTAAAAATATAGCTGATACAAAATCCAACCCCCCAACGGGCAAAAAGGCAAAAATGAACTTGGAATGAAAAACATGGAATCCAAAAATGTAAAATGGAGTCAAATGACCATTTGGCCCTTGGTCACACTTCATACAAGATTAATAAGACCCTATGAAAGAATGAAAATGGAATTCCCACACCCGATGCAACCATGGTGAAGCAATGACTTGCGATTTTTCAAGGTTTTCATAATATTTCATGAAGTTAAAAAGTTGTATATAATACAATACACATGTCATTGGCCTCCGGCTTCATCTCATACATGTCAAATACATTGAAAGGAGTGCACTTATGTACACATTACATACATGGAATCAAACATATGTATTTTGACATATAAGTTTACAAAATGACATTTCATGCTAACATTTGCATGAAATGGAAACTTGAAAGCTACACGACATCCAAGGAATGCTAGGCTTCACGAACCAAGTCTTCGTACCTGAAATATGCCCCAGTATCGTAGGGGTGAGTAACATAAAGTTACTCATAGGAGATGAGCATGCATCGACCTAGCATTTTACAAATTTATCACCTTAAGGTGAAACATGTTAAAGGGGCTCATGCCACCTAACGTCTATGTCTAAGTGAGACTCGGGGAGCATCCTAAGCTACCTTAGAGTCTAAGCAACAAGAATCATGATATACATACGTGTATGAAACGAATCATGGTTGGGATAATCCAAAGAATACGACAAGAAGAATGCTTGAGCATAGATTAACATGAATTGCATTTTCAATACAATTGAACTAGGTCTAGAGTAATCCATACAACATGACAAAAGCATATTTGAATACAAATTAACAAGAATCACATTATCCATGCAATTCAACAACAAAAGAGCATGTTATACAATGTAACAAGGTTTAAGTTCTCAAAGCCATCAACTTAGAATCTAAAGTACAAAATAACAGTAGTGGTTCATGCCACCTAACGTCTATGTTATAAAAGAATCAATAGGATCAATCCTAAGCTTTATTAGAACGTCAAAACACGATTTTCAATATCGATGCAATTTAACCAACATTGAAACTTTCAATACAACGCATAAAGCACAATTTCGCAAAGTTAACATCGTGTAACTTAAAATGGAACGACAAATAAGAAACAACAAGTTACAACATCATCTAGTTATCAACTTGAAAATGAAATGTGAAATCAAACAAATTGGATACTCGGACGTCACGCCGGATCAGACCGACAACATAGTTACTTTAGGGTTACTAGCCCATGGGTAACCTCCCTATGTGCGCACTAGACCATATAGAAGGACTATCCCCCGTACTAGAACCACGTCCTAGCCATAATCAAACAACGATATCCCCAAGTTTCCAAAATCAACAAGTTGTGCAACAACGCATTTATCAACAGGAATATGCAAGATAATCAACTATCTACTCAGCACAACCAAATTTGGAAACCTATACAATACATGCTCTAAATCCACAACTAATATGATATGATGAATGTCGAATCTTCAGTGTGCGATTCGTTACACGCTATGCATGAAAGATGTTAAATACGAAATGTGCAAATCATTACACAAGACAACAATATATTCAATAAGGAAAACATATTCTCATGAGTATAAACATAGCAACTATGTTATCCAATACTCAAAACATAACCAAATGAATATACAACAAGTCCATGTCCAGGATTTTGATATAGAAACGACTTTCAAACACAATTAAATCCATGGCTCAATTCGATAGAATTTAATTAAATAAAAATAATTAAATTCCCTAGATTCTAAGTCAATTCCAAATAACCTCAAATTAATACATATTAAGGAACATGGCATGGTCACCACCTATATCCATTCTAAAACTCAATTAGGTTATTGGAACAACAAGTAGAACTCTAATTAAATCATGCTAATTTAATTACCAAGGTTCTAAAGCAACTTCAAATGGTCCACAATTAATATATACTAGTAAACAAGTCATGGCCAATACAAATATCAAGTTAAAATCTTAATTAAGCTAATGGTACCACAAAATAGATTTTAATTAATTCTTTTAATTAAAATCTCTAGATCTTCAAACTTAACCAAATGCTCTCAATTTAACATATTTTAGAGAACATGCCAAGGATTAATGTAATATCACATTACAAGTTTATTTCATTGAATTTAAGACCATGTGAATTAAACTTTCACTAAAGTTAAATATAAATTAAAAGTTACAATTCTCATGCAATTAATCCCAATTTAATACATGTGAACAACCATACCA